CTATTATTTCATACATAAACTGACTGTTCTTGCTACTTGGGCGAAATCAAATGGCAGTTGACTTCATTAACACCTTTACAATCTCTTTATTCTTCACAGTCGGTGTAAGATGAAAGGGATGATTCAAATAATATAGCTCGCTGTCAGTAAGCATTTTCTATTTTTGTGTATTTTCTTACATTCAGAGTGACTTAAGACGATGGGAGAGCACAGCTGCTACCAACTCCTCGCTTCTCTCACACGTTGTGTGTTTGCAGCATGCCACAGCAGAATCATTTCTTGCTTCATGTAAATCTGGGAAGGCAACTGGACATTTCATTTTGAATTTTGAATGTTTATTCAGATCGAGTCCCCGGCAGCCCAAATGAACACCTGTGACTTAACTTTATTCTGTGCCAGCCCGATGTCCTGTTTGGGTCCCATTGGACATCTGTAATTCCTCGCTGAAATTGCTGAGAGACCCCACTGCTTCCTTACTGCAGCTTAGAGAACAAATATGGCTTATGACATTTTTACATTTACTATTTTGCTGCTTTTTACAATTCATACTTTTTAAATAACATACTGATGCTGTGCAAGTGTATTTCTGCTATAAAACTAGGCATGTATGGACACCGTCCCGTAACACTGAAGTCTTGGCTGCAGACTTTATCTTCTCTGGTTTCTCACTTTCGCCATTCTCATTACACTGAAATATGTCAGATGACCCATTATTCTAAAACATTTCTTATTTTTATTATTCTTTATTCTGTAAGGCTTTAAATTTGGCTGCCAACTTTAAAATTGGAAAAACACGCCATCAGTTTACATAAACTTATCATTGTATGAATGCCATATTTTTTAGCCTTTAATGATGTTGTGGGATTTACTGTTTGTTTTTTGTTTTTGTTTTTTTCAAAAAAATAATTATAATATAACATCCAAATTTAAGGATTTTTGAAAACACAAATTGGTCGCACAACTTTGAACTTTTATTGAAGTTAGTCAAAGTTATGGGGTGCATAAATGTGTAAATTTGAGGCTGTAGGTATATTTTTGTCTCATTTTGATCAATCAAACCAGTACAGTTAACATTTACTTTTGAAACAATTAAAATTATTGTGTATAACCATTTCTCTGAAATGGGAATTATTTAAATTTATCTCTAAAAGGCCAAAAAGGCGATATGGCATTCATGTATGTATGTAAAGTGTAATTCTGAGCAGCGCTATAACTGCGTCTTCCTCCAGTTAAACATGAAACCTTTACAAGTACTGCTCTTAAACCTTCCCTTGGTTCTGAAATGTAACACTTAACTTTGAGAAAGTGGACCGTAAAATTTCAGTCATAAATTGCATTAAATACTTTTTCTTTATATCTTTTTATCCAATCAGTGGGAATGTTTGGGATCGCTAAATGTTTAATTCTGATGAAGAGAGGCCATTATGACACTAAAGTTTAAAGTACAAATTTAAAATGGGCTCTGGGAGTCACAGTGTTAATAAAAGAATCCCTTCCCTGGGCAAAAGGCCAGTAAAATGGCTGACTTTCTTATATCTGCGAGATGGATTATAAATGGCTTGAATTCAGGCTGCCATCAATCATCTGCATTTTCTCGGTTTTCTCAAACATGTAAGGCAGGATGGTAAGGTAGATGGCTGTCAAGGAAAGGCTTTAAGCTTTCTACTTTGAAACATAAGTAAGACAAGTCTTGTATTACAACTTACATACAAGAAATTGATCTAATTTGTGATGGTGGTCTACAAATTACCCCTTTATTCTATTGCTAGATAAGTTTTACTTTTTATTGCCTTGTAATACGGCAATAAAAATTAATTCAGTTTGTTACAAGCAAAGCCGCATGAAATTATTTAAATCATCATTCATTGATGGTCTGTTTCAACAACTTCACACAATCTTGGATTTCTTTCTCTTGTGAATGGTATTCAGTTGGGAACTGAGCTTTAGCTGTTTACTAGAGGATCCTAGAAACAATGTGTTTCTATCACACTGGATTGTTTTACTCCTTTGAGACAATTTACTGTGATGCTGCTGCCTCAGTCTTTCTGTCATTGGATGATATCCACCCTGGCATTTAAATTTGTTTCATTGAAATCTAACTTTACTTATTACCTTGCAGCATCTGAAGAAAATTGTTTTTTGGACACAAACCTCCACGCAATCTTGGAACTCTGTTTTTCTCTTCCCTCAGCTGCCTGGTGTCTTATTTTTCCCCCCCTCGTCTCTCATCTCTCGTTCAGTGCTCTACTGTTAAAGAATGCAATCTAATAGGGGGAATGCATTCAATTTTAGACCAAGATATTAGCTATTATCTGATATCCATTTACAGCAGAGGTGGCCTTGTGATCTATAAAAAAAGTATCTTGAATGAAAGGCTGGGAGCTATTTCTGACCTTGCTTTGTGTCTGCATCCCTGTGATAAACTTTTTTTTTTTTTTGCTGGTTTCTTGAAATAAATTTAATAAAGTTTGTTTGTTTTTTTTCAATAATTACTTTTTTTCATTTGCGAAGAATTAAATTGCGTTTAAAAACACAATTCTGTTAAAAGGTTTTGCTCGCTAAAATACGCTAAAATGTAAGTTCTACCCCTAAAATAGTTTAGCAAACTATTTGTTGGTATTGTTTACATTATTCATTTATCCACCAAATATTTTAAAAATGTTCATAGTTTTTGTAACGAAGAATATGTTCAGTCTATCTTTGATTTGATTTCTCGAGCCCAGATCTGTTGGACTGCTGGTTATTATTTGATATTATGTTTTTATAAAATGTCATTGCATTTTTCTTAATATTACATGTTGTGTTTACCGATGTAGCAGCTTCAAGTGAGTTGATATGCAAAATTATAACATCTTTATTTCTTCATTAGAAAACTTTTGAAGTCAATTTTTAAACACAAACTAATATAAAATTCAGTACATTTTGTTGCACAGAATATTCCATTATTTAGTTTTTTCCTAAAGCTATTTTAAAAATGATTTTTCTCACCAGTGATATCCATAGAAAACAATTTCAAAGGGGGATTATAACACAACTTACCATGACTGTAATTTAATTTTGTGTCATGACATCTCAGGATATTAAGATGGTGCAATATTTCCTTTCTAAAAAATAAAAAAAAGTAGATGCTTTTAGTGTGTGACTTTTAGTGTGTGACTTTGTTTGCTGAAGTAGGTTTATAAAAATATGACCTCTGGGAAAAAAAAAGTGATTTAGACTCGAGAAAAAAAGTAAAAGTAAGACAAAAGAAATGTCTTCAAAGCTTTTTGGCAGTAAGACCTTCTTAGAATGAGAAAATCATGAAAAACATCATTTAGGACTTGTCTTTTTATGCTGCCCCAGAAATTTATTCATTTATTTTTTTCAAAATCGAGTTGAAATTGGAAATTGACTTGTCTATATACTTTTAAAAAGCCTTAGTTTCATGAAATGTTTATCTGACAAGCTTACTGGAATTACTCTCCGTAAGAAAATCAGGGGGTATTTTCAATATAGGTCATGTACACAGTACTGTACTATAAGTTAATCATAGCACTCAAAGTACACAGTACATTAACTAGACTGTAGTTTGTAATACTCTCTTTATATTTTATCCGTTTTTTCCCCTTCGTCCTAAAAGTTACAGTGAGAGATGTTATCCTTAATTTATAGTGAGTCTGGGATGGACAATATCACATCTAATCAAAATCAATTTCACTGTAATTCTGCAATTACACCTTGAGGGAAGAGCAGATTAAAGCCTGTCGCCTTTAGATGATTGAATTAGAACATGTTATTAAAAAGGATAATGAGTATGCGAAAGCAAACATTAGGCTTTGATTACTGCTCTCAACAAGAGGTAATATTTAGCTAAGTGAAAAACAGCTTATTAAATGTGCAAGCTTATCAGGCAAATATTGTTAAAATAACCAGCAGCTCTGCAGCCAAGTCTCTTAACTGTGTTAGTCAATAATGGGAGCATTTTTGTGCAGTTAATTGGAACGGTCGGATCTTCTGTCTGAGCCTCAAAGTGGAAACCTGAAGTGTGTTTATGTTTGTGTACATGTGATTCAGCTGGTTTACTTTTAATTACCGAATGATGGTTAAGGGTGTGTGCTGTGTGTAAGGTGGTAATTAATAGCCTTACACTTGATTCTGTGAATAAAACCTCCCAGTAAAACGCTCACATATCTTGGTGAAACCAGTATTAATTGCAGTGTTTGGATCAGATCAAGGCATAGTGGAAGCATGACATCTAAAAATGATGCATTTTGTTCGTCTTTGAGTTCATTGGCCAGCCCTTAATTTACATCGCGATTAGAAGTTTTTGTTTTGATAAAAAGTGCAATCTATAGCAATGTATGCAATGCAATGGTTTTAATTGCAACTCAAAGTTACAAATATAGTACAGAGCAATGGTAGGCTGAAGTAGGTTTTGTGTAAATAGAAAGCGTACGTACAGAAAGGCAAACTCCATAGCTTGCACCGTAGAGGGCCCGATGCTGCATTGTAAGCGAAGTGATTTGAGAATTCCTATTCCCAAGCAGGTAATTTGAGTCTTGCAGGTGGATGTTTGGTGGTTATAGGGTCACCCTTGAAGCCAGTCCCAACTCTAATAAAACCAGAGAGCAACGCAGGACCGCAAGGCTAAAAACCCCCATTAACTTTCTTCCCTTCAACATGGGGACAGGTAACCTAATGACCCTGCAAAGCTGCCATGCTCCCTGATCACATGACTTGGGAGTTTCAGGGTTGATGACTTGGCACCTGAAGCGAGACATCATTCTAGGAGAAAAATACGACCTGCACCTGAGGAAATAAGAGTGAAACAGATTTCAATCTTAAAAAATAAAATCTAAAGCTTAGCTACAAGGATTTTCATGCTTTATACGTTATGAAAACCATCACTTGTTATATAATTTGTGGCTTATACCTTCTGATCTAACTTATTTTCTTCTCTCTCTTACCATCCTCTTTTGTCATGCTCCTTGCTCTACGCCGTTCTACTATTCTTTATGTAGTGGGATGCCATTACGGAGATGGACGAACACAATCGACCCATCCATACTTTCCAGGTTTGCAATGTGATGGAACCTAACCAGAACAACTGGCTTCGCTCCAACTGGATTTCTCGACAGGCGGCCCAAAAGATCTACGTGGAGCTCCGCTTCACCTTGCGCGACTGCAACTCCATCCCCTGGGTTTCTGGCACCTGCAAGGAGACATTCAACCTCTTCTACCAAGAGATGGACGAAGCCCACGGTGTCAAATTTAAGCCCAGCCAGTACACCAAGATCGACACCATTGCTGCTGATGAAAGCTTCACTCAGATGGATCTGGGAGATCGTATTCTCAAGCTCAACACGGAGGTGCGGGAGGTGGGACCCATGACCAAAAAAGGCTTTTATCTGGCTTTCCAGGACATCGGCGCCTGCATTGCATTGGTTTCGGTGAGAGTTTACTACAAGAAATGCCCCTTCACGTTGATGAACTTGGCCTCGTTTCCAGACACGGTCCCTCGTGTGGACTCTTCCTCGTTGGTGGAGGTGAGGGGAGCATGCATTGATCACGCTGAAGAAAGAGACACACCCAAACTGTTTTGTGGAGCAGACGGAGACTGGTTGGTCCCCCTGGGAAGATGTGTGTGCAGCGTCGGGTATGAGGAGATTGATGGCTCATGTGTTGGTAAGTCTTTGAAACTGCTGTATTTATGTTTTATTCACAATATTGTCTTGGGCAGACAAGCACCCACAGCTGGATTATTATTTTCAAACTCACAGGGAGTCTCCGATGGACTTCTCACTCCACAGAGTTTGTCCATACATTTATATATATAATTGTTATTGATTTCCCAATTTCTCTGGATTTGTGTGTGTGTGTGGTATTTTCCCTTCACATTGACAACTTTTAAACTAGGCATTTCAATTAGAATTAGCAGCCTAACCCTTTGGGTAGCATTATTTCCTTGAATTGAAGCTGACTGAGGAGTTAAATTGGAATATTAAGCAAGAGGAATATAGAACTTTACACATGCTTTCTTTGTTATGTCTCTCTCTCTCTCGTGGGCTGTCAGTGCACTAAAACACTATCTCTGCATTTAACTTCAATCAGAAGTTAATTTTTATTTTATGAAGGTAAGGTCTTAAAATTGGCACAACCTGTGCTGTTATTTCAAGCATCACATAAAGTCCTTATAGTCAATGTACATAGGACCTTCAGTGTCTCGTGTTCGTTTCCCACATGTTGTGTCTACATATTTACTCAGTTAAAGCACACAAAGAGGTTTGGAGGTAGGATACAATGTTTCATACTACAGCAACGGCAGTCATGTATTTTCACTCAAAGAAGAGCAAATAAATTGTTTTTGCACTTTTTAACTGATGTTAAAATCTAATTGTATTATTTGCTCCCCAAATGTATTCTTCTTGGTAATTATACACACCCTCCATTTTGCTGCTCTCAAATGCTAAAGACATATTTATACTCTGCTGGTATTTTTTAGCATGACTTTTCAGTTTACCACCAGTATTACTCACTGAAGCCTCTCTGGAGAATAAGTGAGAAGTTTTGCCTTGTTTTGGATCACAAATTTGCTGTCAAAGAGCTTTACCATTGCTGAAGCTGCATGTTTATATATGTATTAGTAAATGCTTGTGCATGCACAAATACGAAAACACATGTTGTGTATTTTTGCAGAATATATAGAATATAATCCCATGTTTTCTCCTAAAACATGGCATATGACCATACAGCACTTTTTTTTTAATTTTTTATCTTGATTCAGATTTTTGTAAGTGAGGTTAAGAACATAAGCAGTTACTATCTTGTCATAGTTACATAACGTTTTTAGCATAAATTCAGATTAGTTGGCCCCAGAGGCTGCAGCTCAGGCTTTATCCAATAAAGGCCAAGACCTTTATAGAGTAATCAACTGATAGAAAAGTGAGGTAGTGAAATGGTCAATAAAATGGACTTCACTTACACTACTACATAAATTGTCCTTTTTATACCCTTTCAGACTTAATTTCAGCCTGTTATCTAAGAAATCTTTTCAGAATTACTGTTGAAGCACCTTTTCCTACCTCCATTTCCCATGTAAATAATCAGTGGCTTCTAAGTTAATAACCATCAAATGCAAACATGATAATGATTAATAAAGTAGTGTTTGTTTAACCTAGTAGTTATTTTGGACACTATTGGTGTAAGACAGTAGATGCTTGCCTTGTACTTGGTTTTAGCCTTCAGAATCTACTATTTGTAGTGAATGAAGACGCCAAGCAGGTAAGATATTAACTGCTTCCGATCTTTGATCAGGACCTCACTTCAAAACGCCTAAATTACCCATTTAAGGTATCCAACTTCACAATTGTTTTAGTTCAGGGCTTTTGAGAATTGCTAGGATAAGTATACACATGTTTTTTCTCTTTTTGACATAATATATACCTTCAAGAAAAGATAATAATTTCTTTTATGAGTTTTGTAGTCAATTTTGACTCTGAGTCACCGATAAAGTGTGTTAGCCAGTATGTCAAACTTTAAAACTTAAGTTTATCTAAGAATCAAAACCGTTTCAGGAGGTTTTGTTTTAAAAATGTCAGTCTGTCTGAAAAAATGGTGCAGGGGTACCTATGATGAGACACGCTTGTATGTATGGTGTTGTTTTGTACATCAGTGTTCAACCACCAGCTGTCCGAGGGGCTATCTCAGTGAGAAAGATTGGTCGCAGTTTGATCCTGAGCCCTCTGATATGAGCTTTAGGTTATCACTGGCAGTACCACTCACTGGGAATGCTACTTTCAACAAGGTCCAATGCAACTCCTTTTTAACCAGCCAAAGGCCTGATGTCAGGTCACCAGATACACATGTCTGCAGATCTGCAATCTGCAAGATACCTGATGTGCTTGCACAGAGAGTGGCATCATAAACCTCTGAAAGATTCTTGATTTAAAGGTCAACTCCAGACTGTATGAAAACAGATATCTCACATTTGTGGACCCGGTTAACTTCCTAAATTAAACAGGATGTATGATCAATATCACAAAGCTTTGAAACTAATTACCCTTGAAGGCAAACAACAGCTTTGTTCCCTGACAACAGTGATCTATAGGTCCTCTGTTCTCACAAACTGCCGCCTTGCTTTGCCTACTGTAGAACAACTCTTTCTAGAAGTCTCCCTGGATCTTTTTTCCCTCATCCAGAACCAGATGTCTTTGCAGAGCTGATTACAATTTGTGGAGTGACACAGGTCGGCTAAGCCTCCGAGCTGCACCTGCAGCTGCATCGCAATCAAGAGGGCAGAGGTGAAACTGCAGCTGTGATTAGAGTCCAACTGTTCCAAAAATGCTGCCTTTTTTCATGTGCACTCCTTAAATAGTTTGTAATATTCTGAACTGTTTGTTACAAAACACAGTGTGTAAAGGTAGAAAACCCACTTTTTAAGGCAGAAATTATTACAAATTATTATTTTTTTGCCAATTCAATTGTGTTAGATGTTTTTCTTTAAAGTGGTTAAACACCTGCTCTTCGTAACCTCTGTGATATCAGCCATACTGAACTGAATTACGTCATTCCAAACGTTGTTGCACTGTTTGCCCTTTTTTGTGATTTACAACCGTCCTAATCAAAACGTCAAATGGAGCTAAAAACCAAACCTTTGTCATTACCAAATTAAAATATTAGCAAGATCTAAATTGTCACCATCATGCATCCCTGTTCAGCTACATACAGTATATAACAGAATTTAAATCAACCTTTGTTTCCCCGGCTCTGTGCTCTCTCTGAAGCAGATTTCACAGTTGACTAAAGTTTAGCCCTTTGGGCAATGTGATGGCATTTTACTGCAATGTCAGCCCTGAAATGCAGCTCCCGATCATTGTTCCAGGACTCAAACAGGCTTCGTTATTAAATGCCTCCACACAAAGGAGCACTGGAGCACCTTGAGCATTGAAGGAGAAGGCTGAGGTGGCATGCTTAGCCGACCTTTCAGTCCCCACTTTACAACGAGCTGTTTTGTTAGGAATAGAGGCTGTTTAATTGGGCTCCATAAAGGAATTAGTTCTGTTTTTGTTTTGAGGCATTGCTCAACTCGGTCGGATTTTGGCTGTGTTTGGATAGACAGATGACAGTTTTTGTGCCACTGTTCAATGATTTCAAGGTTACAATTTACATTTTACAAAAAATGCCAAAGTGATAATTTCGTTTTTGTAGATTTTAGGAGATTCTTCTATAACCATTTCTTATTTTACAGCGATCTGCTTATTTTTGGTCATTCTTGTGATGAAAACTCTGTATATTAACTGGTAGGGACTTATTAACGTTTCGTTGTAACTTATTTAAAAGTAGTTATCGACATGTACTGAGGTTTATACTAATATATTGGCATTGATCCACCTTCTTTGCTTCTCATCACTCCTGTCGTCCACCGGCTTACTGTGAAGGAAAGCACTGACCATCTGGTCTTTGTGGTCTCTCTGTACTTTCAGTACTGTTGTTCTACCATTTCTCTAGTTAGTTCCCAGTACCTCAGTTTCCTGATTCTTTTTTAGCTGCTTTACAGTAAGTGACCGTGCCAATATTATGCTGGATTTGTTAAATAAGGTTCTTATATCAGAGTTTTCCCTACACCCTCTTTAGATTTAGGTAGAGTAATTGCATCTCCTTCCATCCTTCAAAGCTCACCCTCGTGTTACTGCAGGTAAGATAAAGACTAAAAAATCCAAGCAACATAAGACAAACTGCCGTAAATGCAAGATGTGCAGTTAAAAATACTAACTGAACCGCCTTGCTCAACATACCAGAGCTATTTGAGATTAAACGCTACTATGGCAAACAGATTTAGGACTCCAGTTTTGCCATTCCTTTGCTGGTACTGCCTTATGTCTGCTGCCTGTTTAGTGTTCTGGATTTTGAACTTGTTTTTTTTAGCCTAATTATTTTTGCATCATCCTACCTTCCAGCCTGCCAGCATTCATTTGAGCCACACTTCATTACCATCACACTAACAAGAAATGGGAGTTATTACATTTGTAAAGTTTTCTGATTCCCATGACATGAGCTCAAGTTTCTGAATAAGACTGCAGGACTTATTTGAATAAACAAACTCTAACAAAGCACCAAAATAAAATAAACATTCCTAGTAAGAGCTCTGTTACAGTTTTAATAAAGGGTTCACTTCTGTAGAAAGATGTTTTTCAACAAAAATAAATTTCCTATGAGTTTAAATTGGTGCCTAAGTTCAGTGATTTTTTTAAAAGCAATCTCTTGAGTACTATTTAAACTGTGTGTTGTAGAGCTGTCATTTCACTTTTTACCCAACAGAGCCATCTGTGTATGTACATTTTCCAGTGTTAATTTGAAACCACTGCAGAACGAAACATTCTGCAGAGCGAACTTCACACACTCAGTTAGACTTAACACACCAATGGTGCTGCTCACTTACTAATTTAATTAAATTTCAATACAAAAAAATACTTTGCTGATCCCATAGGGAAACTGCATGTTGGTTCAACTCATAATATCCCGGTTGTAGATGCTAATGGCTGCAGGAAGTAAAGATCTTCCGAAGAAGCATCTGACTGAAGACACTCTGTTGTTGTTTAACGGTCTCATGAAGTTGACCAACTTGCTTAGTGGAGCCGGAGTTTCAATTACAACATGAAGACAGTCGGACAACAATTACAGCACAT